GCCTCAGCCCGCGGCCGGAAGCGGAAATGGGCCTGCAAGCGGAAGTGAGGCCCACGTGAAGGGAGACGGGACTGGCGCTGTGGGGTCGAGCCAGCAGGCGGCCCGCGAGCCCCCTCGTGGTGTCCCGAAGGTGGCAGTGGCCGCAGCGGCTGGGGTTTCACTGTGTGGGCCTGTGGTGGGGCTCCTCACAGGCCTCCGTCGTCCCTTCCACCAGGCCAGAACTTCCTGGAACCGGTGAGGGATTCTTCTCCCAGCTGCTGCTCCTTGTGCCTTGGCTACTCATAAAGACCACGGTTGGCCAATGACTTCTCCCTCCGCGCCAAGTCTCCTGGGGGCCATTTCTAACCACCTTCCTGATATGTTCTCCCTGGTACAGGCACCTCTAACTCAGATGTGCGTAGTAGTTTAGCTGATCTCTTCTCACCAGTTTGCTCCTTTTGTGTGGGTGGATGCACCACCGATCACTCTATGGTTTAAGCCAGAAACCTAGAAACCATGAGACCTCTTATTTTATTTTATTTTTTTAGCTCTTCGATTTTGATGCCTTTTAGTTCTTCTGCCAGAGAACACTTTCATTCCACCTTTTCCTTCACACTCACATTCACCATAGCTGTTTGATTCTACTTTGTTAGCCACTCTGCCCCTTGCCATTATGGTGGCTCTGGCCCTCAGACTTTCTTGACTGACCTACTGCATTAACTTCTGAAACTTTGTTCATGCCTCCATCCTTGTGCCCTTTCAGGCTTCCACTTCTGTGCCAGGTTCTGCCTCTCCAATGAAAGTAGATCCTAGCATTCCTCAGCTTAACGCTTCATGAACCTCCTTTGCTCAAAGGTTATAAACTAACGGAAGTTCAAGCTCCTTAGTGTGGTATCCACAACCCTGTCTGATGTGACTTCTAAATATTTAGTTTTGTCTTATTGCCACTGCAGCAGAAAATTTGTGCTTCAGTGGAAAATTATGCATAGAAGTCACACTTCTGAATTATCTAATTCTAATTCTATGGGAGATATTTTACAACTCTGTAAGTTGTAGGCAGGTGATAGCTACTCAAAATAATGGCCTATAGACATGCAAATTATAACAGAAGTTTAATTGACTTCCCCATCCCCACTGTGGAAGAAGCCTATTTTGCCTCCATTTTCACACTAATTTCATTCTTGATTTATAAATGTGCTTGTTGTTTGGACTTATTCTTTGAACCAGTGGTTCTAAAATCTGCCTGTTGTTCATTTGCACATATTCATTTTTACATCTACGTGAGAGCTATGACTTTATCTTTTTTGAAAGTTGTCTTCTAGCACCGCATATAGCTTGCACTTAAGCCTGAGGACTAAACTCTGACCTTTTTATTTTTATTATTAAAATTTTTTATTTTAAAGATATGGGAAGCCGGGCTCAGTGGCTCAGCCTGTAATCCTGCACCTTTGGGAGGCTGAGGTGAGTGGATTGCCTGAGCCTGTGGGTTCAAGACCCGCCTGGGCAAATTGGCGAGACCTCATCTCCACAATAA